ACCGAATAGTCTTCTTGACCGAGTATTAGCGTAAGACTTTTACAAGAATTAGTCTAAGCGCTGATGATGTTCTTCATATGATGCTAAGCTTACTTCCATTTCGAGTAAAAGTGTTTGGTGAAGAGTTTCGAAGGTCGATCCCACCAGAAGACTAAGGGGGATTCCTCTTGACTAGATGTCTATGTGCTTTACTGGAGCATTATTGTTGACGTTGTTTCCGAGGCAATCTCCTTCGATTATGCTGAAAACGCGCTACGTTTTCATACGTCGAATGGCGGACATCATCAGACCAGAGGGGAGTATAATCCTTACACGACGACTTCACCGGCTTGATTCGTTAAATTGAATATGTTTGCAAGAATGATACCCCACCTGCTCTTATGATGTCCGTTATCCGACAAACGAAGACTTAGCAAATTTTCACACAAATCGAAGGAGATTGCCTCGGAAATGGAATCAACAACAATGTTCTAGTAAAGCCAATCTACAGCTGATCAAGAGGAATCCGCCGTCGTCTTCTAGTGGGATGAGAAATGAGAAATGAAGGTCTCCCCAACAAATATATCTAAATCAGAAAATATACGATTTAACTGGGAAATCTTAGCAGGACAGGCAATGGCCCCGAATCCAGACTTTTTTATATGACAAATATGCTGCAGGATAGATAAGATGTGGATACTCGTGACCGATTGAATAGTAATACGCCATAAAGTGATAATAGTGTTTGACAAGACAGATGATTTTTACCTGGAGACAGAGGAAAGACAGACTAAACATGGGCATGGAAGTAAGCGTGCCAATCGGTGATGCCCATTTTGTAAAAAGGATTGATAGTAGTAAGTTTAACCAGTCCCAACAGGCCAATCTGTCTAACCATAGCAAACCGAAGTTTGCGGAAAGCTAGTTCGCCGTGAAAAATGTGATGATGGCTAGTTAAAAAATAAATACGAATGCTTGTAAGTAACAATATGATATAATTGTATGATCCTTATTCGGTAAAGGTAGTTGTCCATGTTGCTGCCTTAGCTAATAAGTTGATGTGTGGTATGGGTGCGTGTGTCCATTACTTGTGTCATAGAGAAGCATAAGAGAGAATGGGGATAAATGTGGAACCCATTTAGAGTTTTGAATAAGTAAAGGAAGAGAAAGGGGCAATTTTACTTACCCGTGCAAAACGATGCATCATAAGGATAGCGCAACGGAGACGAGGTGAGGCCAGAAATATGTCAATCACGAGTAGGTTGACAGCTCTGAGGTGTCGTCTCTCATACGATGAACGAGTCAACTAAGCGTGTAGATTTGTAAAATATGTGGGTAGAAATTAACAAAACACAAAGAAGAATAAAAACTGATTGGAGACCAATCAGTTTTGAAATGTATAGAGGAGTGTCAACATGTTGCCACGATGCGTAAGACCGGGGCTCGAATCCCATTTAGGATGAAGTGGAAATTATAGTCAAGGCAGGATGAGAAAACCTTTTAGAAAGCCCGGCTAAGTGGGATTCATATTTAGTAAAGTCATTGAAATCATCAAAGAAAAAGCCCCAATTTTAATACTTACATCAGATAAAGCGTCTTAGATTGAGTAGCTTTTAACTCAATAATTACTAATAGATTTGAAACATTCTCACATCGAGTAACAAATTATAACACAGTTAGTGTTAAACTAATAAGACTACAGTTCGATAAAGAAGCGAAGGAGAATATATGTGGCAGCCTTAAATCAACGGTCAAAAATGAACTCCGAAAAAGAATTTTTAGGAAAATAAAATTAATCATTATTGAACAAACGCCAGAATTCGTCCAACTTGTGTGTTCAGCATTTTAGAGAAAGCGAATATTGTCACATA